AACAACAACACACACACACACACACACACACACACACACACACACACACACACACACACACATATATATATATATGGGAATATATATAAATTAACAAGTTAAGAATACCTCGAGCATATCCTCAGTTCCCACCATGTCTTGAGTGAGATGTAACAGATCAGTTGCACTACTCTTGGCGAAATTGGTGACCTTATCCTGGGGTAAGAACTGGCATAGATTGTCCAACTGGATGTTGTAGCTAGTCACAGCAGTTTTGACCTAAAAAGTAACGGGCATATAGATGTTTAATAGAGAGTTTAAAGGTATATGAAAACAACACGAATCCGTGGATTCATATACGACCACTACTGAGATAATATATGTGTACACTAAAGTACACATTTTTCAAAACCTCTTTCTTGCTGGCAGTCTTCCCGTTGAGTTTCCAGTCAGATCGGTCATCCGTGTATATGGTTCTCTGTACGATTGTATTCCGCTTATTGCCCTTCCTGCAACAAGCGGCAGTCGTGCAATCAGTTTGAAAGCGTACACCAGATACCATGTTAAACGGATCTCGCAACAATCGTATGTACATGAAGTTGCATATGCATTATAAGTCGACCCAGATGTGAAGCACTTTAAATCACGAACGAGCAAACGAGAGAGAGTAAAAAAACGCGTGCACGGCCATGCCGCAAACCGGCCGCTTGCACAGATTGACGTCTATGAAGATACACTACGACAGATTTATGCGCTACTTTAGGGCATCAATGCTTACGCACCCTCCATATTATAGTCAAGACAAAGATAATGGTCATTCGGTAGTACGTGATGCAGTGTCGCCAAATAGCTTTCTTGGAAAAAAGGTAGTCGGGTTAGTTTTTTTGGTGAAGCAAGCGTAGTGTATGCCCCGAATCTCCCAAAGAACCATTCAACTGTTTAGGTATGGACATGTGTAGGTGACATAAAACTTCCAAGAATGTCCGTTTCTATATAACTATACATTGGCCGCGATACACTCCCGGTAATTAAACACAAAATCACGCATAGCATTGTCAGCAATCAAGCACAGGGGTACATGACAGCCTCGATTTCTTTGTAATCAACCACCAAATATGCACACAATTGGATCACGAAGATCGCCTTATCCTCTCTTATACTTACATAACTGATCACTCTCGACGGAGAAGTACACATAACAAATTATAAATAGAATTTGTTATCCGATGTTCTTCAATATACTCGCTCACTCGTGGTCTTGTACACTCCAGTCGCTCTACGCAAAACTGCACTTACTGCAATAAAAAATCAACCTTACATACAATTCAATCTCGATGATAGCCTTGTCTTTCTTGTGCTTTACGTAATCGCTCACTTTCGATCCTCTCCCCAACAGTGCAGGCGGGCCGGACAATCCCAAACATATTGCGCACACAAGCGATGACTTGCCGGTTCCATTGGGACCGATAACTACGTTCAGATGGGGTCCAGGTCGAAACTCAACATCGTCATATGTTACGAAGTCAATGAGTTTAATGCGCACGATACTGCCGAATTTGTATGAATCGTTACGAGGTGCCATATTGTATACCTGAGCGTGGGTATGCTGGTTTGATACACGATTAAGTGGTAATGTATTATTGTGGGGGTTAGAGTATATCTTGGTGTGTGGTGTAGATGGTACAAGCGACGGTAAAGTGTACAAGTAGTCTATTATAGATACTACGCAGGAAGTAGTGATCTTGTAATCACACTATCCAGACATTACGTGTATGTATTTATATGTAGTTATGTGTATTTATCATACAAATAATACTACAACAAATAATACTACTAAAATACTAATATACACACATATTTACATATATTTACATACACATACCACAATCCCCAGACTTTTTTGGCGGTAAAATTTGATGACAAGAATATTTCTCAATTTCAATTGGCTGAAAGCCAATTCGAAATCATTGCGCGCGCAAATATGCGGTTTTAAAATTTGAACTATGTCAGATGATAATCCCGCAATACTTCCAAAATGTACCGCAATGACTGGTGCACTGGTAGACTGATCGACTGATAGGGGGTTCAGTGCTATATATGTACATGCTGGGTTTATAGCTAGGATTCCATTCCAAGAGGCCATGGTACGGTTGTACACATACATCGGTGGCCATAGTATTTGACTCTACCTCAATGTTACACACTAATGATGTGAACTATATTTGGTTAAAGCCGGTGGCAACCTTTTGAAATATTTTGGTTTAAAGTAAGCACCAATCTGCCAGTTGCAGAAGCGAACTGGACTCACCTTCTGGGCGGACGTACGTCTCAAAATAAGTAGCATCTCACATTGAAATGGCTTAAGTACATAATGGCTACTTAAAACTCGGCAGTATCTGTTGCAATGAACTGATTAATTTTGCTGCTCCACTCGTACTAGATGGTTATTGCGCCGGAGTTCGTAATCAAATACATCCAGATTGCCCTAAAATTATGCTCTTCACTGACTAAAGGCAGATAATGCGATCAGAGCAAATGCGTGCTGTTGGGGCTCGAAATGCGAACGAACTGTCCGTATTTTGGGATCTTGGAGCCTTCTGTAATTTATTGAGTAGCGGTACGCCCAGAAAGATAAAACACTTCACTAAAAAAAAGGCTGATATGTTTATTAGTTATACAGAAGGTCCCCGATCTGCCCGATGGAGATGTAGGCCGAATACACCATGTACTGTGCATAAAAATGTAACAATCTTGGCTTTCTATCCAGATATGCGACTGTGCGGAAGACGGCACGAAACTTGCAAGTGAGTGATATCGTCAAATGTGACCAGAAATCCAGGTACACTATGGGGATCTCCATCACAACTTTTCTGTTCGAGATACAAGCATCCGTGGCCAATATAGAGTTTTACACCATAACACCAACCTGTCGAAATTGTGCGCTGGCCATTCGCTATCTAATTTTAAAACGAGAAATACGAGCTAGTCACCCCAAACAATCGATATATTTAAATACAGATGGAGCTAGCTGTTTGATATTGGTCTATTCTTCATATTCGTAATACTCATCCCTGTCTGGCAGCTTGGGATTCCAGTACTTCTCATGCCAGGTTAACTTCTTTATGTTTAAATCTGAGATTTATAAAGCAGCACAATACAAGGAGGAATGAATATCAATCACTACAGCAATATTGGGCACACATCAGTCGGGCCATAGATATTGCCAGATGCTGCTGAGATGTTCCGAGTCTCTACCCGAATAGAGAAACACGTCGTCAAAAATTAGACTGTTATATACATGTGATACGCTGTTACGAGACCAGGAACCTATGCAAGCTGAAAAGAGAGGCAAAATCTCCGCAACTTCGGCTTGTTGCAAATTTTATGGCCAGCAGAAGCAAATTTAAAAACAAATAAACGCGTAGAAATTGTACGAGAAAGCAATATACTACAACAAACAAGGCGCGCAGAAACAATGTTAGGAACGAATAAAAGAAGTTCCTTGCAAGATCACAGAAAACCGTCTGTATAATCACACGACGTTAGGTGTTCATAGTACTAAGTTACTTTAAATAGTTGAATGCATCGCAATATATGCCATGACAACCACAGAGTCCCATCGAAAACGCAATGCACCTTAGTGGTGGAGAATGGTATCAAGGCAAGTGCAAAAAGTACACCGGGCACATATTATGGGCCCAAAACATACCGCACTCATTGAAGCACTGTAATATACTGTCTTCAACCACACGACGACAGTCGCCTCCAGATGTTCGTATTTTGAGGTTTATCGTTTTAAAGGCACCTGATGTTAGAATTTGGCAAAACAATCCAGAAAATAGATCAGACAAAAATTGAATATTTTATAAGCGCAAAACACAAGCAAGGTAGAAATTTTTCGAGTAGTGTATCAATCAAATTTTAATCAGACAAGAATGGTACACACTAACCACGAATGGTGGATTCGATTAATACGGCTTTCATTACGAATTTATAAAAATGAAGTCGGAATGCCGCAAAAATCATGCCATACAATTTCAGATACAAAAATCTACCGAGGAATGCAGGCAGATACTCCGACGATAAATCGCTTAGAGGGTTGCACTCAATACTTGCACACCGACCACACATGTAGCAACCAGCGCAACAGAGCAATGTATCGTCCATTGGTATTGACACGAAAACGTTACCTGACCGGCCACGGGGTATTTCAAACGTGAGCAACAGTGTTTGGCGCGATGGAAAGGAGTCGGTAGATTTGATCTCATCGATAAACGACAATAGCTTTTGTAACGAGGTCTCGTTCTGTTTCTTTTGCTTTGGGAACCTGAGGTCGACGAAGGGAAAGGCAGAATTGTATCGATACAAGTGACTATTGTTTGCGCTGGTACATAAACAACGTAGATAGTGCATCTCTATGCAATGATAGCGCTGGGAAGATACGAAGGGGTGAATTTCACACAACCAAAAAGAAATAACGACAGTGCATCCAGTCCGTTGTCGCTGCGGAATAATAGCATTGTAAAGACAAGAGAAATTAGAAATTAATTCCGCACGACTCTAAACGAATGTGCTACCCAAATTCAAACTACATCTGCATCCTTGTGTCAACTAATAAGTTGAGAAGTCTGAAAGCATGTATGTGCTTCCGATCTGGCACGTACAAAGTAAACTTCTAATCGAAGATGAAGAAACTATCGAAAGGGCACACTAACATGCATTATAGCGTCGCACACATCGGCTGGTTCAAATTCGCACCCGCATACACGGGATAACGTTTTCGAGCACAAATACTCGCCAAAAAAAAGGCAAGCGGATTAGCACGTCGCAGAACAAGCAAGTAATATGAAATGTAGTGATGGTAGACAGCTACGAGACTAAAGTATTTCGTGGATTTAAGGTCTATGCAGATGGAAACCGAATACGCCATCAAGGCACCATATATACATACAGAAACTAAGTTATCAAAATATAAGATAAACACCAAGACGAACACAACCTTTATAGAAAATATATGAATTTCTTATATTTTACCATTTGTGCGTATATATATATATATGTGTGTGTATGTATGTATGTATACACACACCCAATCACACATATATCTTGATATATAT